CACACACACACACACACACACACACAGGGGTGTTCTAATTAGTTTTCTCTTTCTTCTTTAACTAACTTGGAAAGTTTGTTCATGACCATTGTGATCTTCTGACTGTCTGTGTTTCCTGACTCACCTGACTTTCATTTTGTGATCATGTCACCATGTTCTCGGATTAGTTTGGTGAGTACAGTCTTATTACTTCTGCCAGGGAAGATATGTTTTCATTGCAGTTTGTCTGCTTGTTTCTTTGTCTGTCAGTGGGATCTCTCAAAATCCACAGAACCAATTCCCCTTAAATTTTGTTGAGGGATGGGAGATGACCCGAGATGAACCCATTCAATTTCTGAGCTGATCTGGAAAAACAGGCCCAGGATTTTTTTTCCGCTTACTTTAAAATTGGAGATGGACATTAGCCTAGGTGGATATACACCCCCCCAGACTGGTGTCTGAGTGATAAGAGATGGATATGATGAACAAAACTTCAAGACAGAATTTAACTGAAAAAGAAATTTTAACACAACATTCCCCGAACTAAAAATATTTGGTTCTTGCATTTACTAAAGACGCTCTAGTATGATGCGTTCATACCTAATGCAAAGCGAATAAACCTGCTGTGTTACTCTGCGGGGGAGGCGAGCATAGTTGTGTGTGGATCCACCCGATCACCCAGAGGCGCCACTCGCTTCCAGCGCTACCTGAGGCTTTTGCGACATCACATCACGCATATTTTTTGTTCAAGTTCTATATGTTCAGTTACGCGAGCGTGGCAAATGACTGAATTTAGTGTGTTCGCGTCCGTTTGCATCTTTGCGTCATGTATGTAATCTCACTGCATGAAGAAATTGATTGTTTGCTGCTAAAGTGATAGCCTACAGTACAAATGCTGACAGGTGTGTTGGGTTCTGTGGTGAACTTACGTCCAGTGGCTGGGCGTGGTAGTGCTCTGTGGGATCCCTCAGTTCAGCAGCCTCTTTCATCAGCCTCTTCACCGCTGGTTTTTCAAAAGACATGGAACAAAAAAACCTGAGGTTAGTACCTGCAGAGTGAATTTTGATCATTAGCGCTTACATCATTGGTCATCACTATTTTTTTCCATTGGAACGACACTGGCAGGACCGAGTCAAGAGATGAGACACTTTTACCTGCAAACACCAAATTACCACATTGTGTTTCAAGCTACTTCACCTGAGAGCAGAGAGTTGCATTATTCAACACAAAAGGTTGGATATGTGGAGGACAAATAAACAATTATGTCTCCCCTATATTTGCTCTGCTCATTTGTATGGCTTGAAGCTTTCTTGTCTTACTCTGACCACCTGCAGTTTGCCTGCTATTCCCCACTGTGACGTCTTCCTTTTGATTTCCGGCTGCTACATGCTCTGACTCTTCATTTCTCTCTTTCTTGCCACAGAGCCTTGCTTCTCCCCATCTGGCATGTGACTTTGATTAGAAATCGATTGATGTTTATTGTTCATGCAGTGCACCTTCACAAGCGTTAGACGTTGCTTTAGCTGATATATGACCGTGCTACATGAGTGAGCCAAGTTGGCGGATTGTTTTCCTCTCCTTTCATATATTTAATAAAAGCTCAAATAAACATGTGACATTTGTATTTAAGGCCAACAAGTTTTTGTGCCATATTACCATAATACTTTTTTTAGAAAGTATGTTGGCTCCATTGTCATATTATTTGCTGCCCTGCCTGTGTCACAATGACAAAACTCCATGGTTCATTTTAAGAATTTGCACCACCATTTCTACAATTCCACCCAAATGTTTGGGCCAAGATTCCTGAAATCCCTGATGCAGAGAGCTGCAAATGTGCTGTTCTTCTGGCTAACAGGATGCTAACACAGATGGACAGATGATATAAGCATGGATGGCACAGAAAAACTACACTCACAGTCACACTCTTTCAGACAGCGAGAGGAAAAGGCTCGAACAACAATGCGCGTTTAAACATGCAATTCAATCACATTTGGAACTGATGTTTTTTTCACAACTATTCAATTAAACTCTTTTGCACATTTTGATCCAACTAAGCCTTTGGGGGGGGGGGCAGACTGGCTTCCTGCATGATTAAATGCATCAAATCGAGTATGTGACCAAGAAAAACAACTTGAGAGGAAGGACCCATTTAGTCACCATGGATATCTAAGCTAAGAATGTATTATTTTATCAACATTATTCATAATTTCCCTTGTTTCTCAAAAATATGTTGTTATATTTATAGCCTCCCTGTTTTCTGATTTACTTTTGTTTTAATTTTCTGTGAATACAAAGCCACCTCTTCCATGTTTACAAGAACATTTCCATGGCACTAATTCCAACACACTCATATCATACTCACCACTTGGCTGCTTGCAATTAATCTTTTTAAAAGTTGACTAATTAATTCCGGTCCATTCAACTTGGCTGTTTTTTTTTTTTGTCAGCCGTTAAGCTGCTGTCACAATACAAGCTTTCCAGCCTCCCTTTCCCATATGCTTTTAAGGTCTTCCTCGTAAAGGTGAGCAACACTCAGCCAGACAGTTGCCAGATAGTTTGGAAGAACTGGGAACAAGACAGCTGCGTGGTTTTATTGTGCTGATAATTGTTACTCAGTCTGAAAAGTCTTGGATGTTTCTCTAGTGGACATTGAAGTATCTGCTGCAAGTATTGTGCCTTATTAGCAGGGACTTAAGTTTGAATAACGAGAACAAAAATAAAAAAGAGCAAAATCGAAACCACTCGAATTATCAGCATGATTAATCGATTGATCAATCAACTGTATGTCAGGTTACTGAATGTAATAATTACCCTGCACGCTGAAAAACACATATTCCAATTTATCTCCTTAAATAATAGCACTAGAGACACGATCTAAAAAAGAGAAGTCAGAAAACATCATGCATAGTTTCAAGGTGTCTCAGCATTCAGTAGGACATAGACTAAAGCTTATAGAAAGATGTACAAACGTCAACTGTATCATGATATCACTGTGAAGTTAAATATTCTATACCTTTTGCAACCAATAAGATTTAGGATCCACAGCTTATATGAACCATTTATATGTCCTCTTATCTATAACTGATGTCATAATTTAAAATATACAGGTATATACAGCACACGCAGGATATACATCGCCCCTCTGATGGATTTATTTTTTACTGTCTTTATAGTGAAGATATGTCCACGTTCGCTCATTGCTATTTCATCTTCAAACATTAAAAGTAATAATTATAAACCTGATCTAAATTTGCTTTTGCAACAACATGATATACCGTATTGTTGGTGTCAGTACTTTTGCCTATACACACACATATCACTCAAGTTGAAAGATTGCTGTAAATTGCTCATTGGGGATTAGTGGATGATTAGCAGATGCTTCGTGCTACAAACACAGCTGAACTTGTAACCCCGGCTCAAGGCATAAAGAAGAGTAAACAAGCTTTTTTTTTTTGTTGTTGCTGTATTTAAGAGGTCAATCTCTCCCCATGGCAGCATTTGAATAAGTTGATGTGCAGATGCATTGGGTTTTCAGAATGAGGGGGCCAGAAAAAACATCTGCTCAAATCAACCCTTGTGTCATGACCTAGCCCGCAACACACTCAGACCTTCTGTGTTAATCTGAATACAAACAACCTCATCACTCGAGGAAGGAGAGTTATACAAGTGTGGTGGTGGTGGTGATGATGATGTAACACTGACCACCATGATGTGAGTACTTGGGGGTGACACAACAACAACAGGTGCTGATGTCACAGTCTCAGCCTCACGTTCACAGCGCTCATCACAAGTTTCAAAGTAGCTGATGAGCTAGAGGAAAGCAAGGTCAGTTTGCTTGCTTTTGCTGTCTTGTGGGATGCCTCTAAAGCTCCAGCTACCAGCTACCAGTGCACAGCAAGAGGAAACAGAATGGGGCTGACAATTGGAAAGTAATTGTGACAAGGAAAGCAGAACTAAGAGGTATTCATGGAGGCAAAATTGATTCGGAATCCAATCGAGCGTGGATTGCTGGGGAGTTGAGCTAGAAATGGAGACTGCGAAATGAACACAGGAGAGGAAGATGAGGGGCAGCAGTGGGGATGGGTGGGAGGGCAAATAACAGGGTGGAAGGCTGGGAAAGCTGGGAGGATGTGGAGGCTGCAGAGGGGAGGGATGAGGCATTGGAGTAGAGAGATGGTCTGACACCACGTGGCTTTCAGGGCACATGCACTTATTCTTATTCCGCCCAAGGACAGACACTCTGCAGTGTAGATTTTAACCCATCGCAAAAAGTCCACACTGGACATACATGGAGAATGGCGGGGGGCATTCATTTTTATGGCTTTCCCTACCTCCTCTTGTTCTAACAAGCAGCAGGGGTCACAAAGTGCTTGCAATTTTACTCAAGCTTAAAATTATTAAAACACAAGAGCAGATGAGAAACTGATCTTATGTAAATAAATCTAACCTCCTTGCCTCAGACTACTCGTGTATCTTGACCCACAGCTGATCACAATACAACTCATGTTTGTTCATTTTCATTGCATAAATCTTTCCCAGGGTGATAAACTTTGCCAGCCCACATAGGTGTCTATATCCCTGAATGAGAACTCCAAAGCACAAGATAGCTGAGCTACATTTCAATCAGAATAATAAAATAACCTGCTTGAGGGATGTTACTGGTTTGGTGTGATGGCATGCGCTTTGAATGTTGTGGGTTTGATTCTACCGCCTCGTGTCATCGCTGCTCTCAACACACATATGCAAGCATACGTAATTCCTCCTTCCTCGATGACAGTCTGTCACGTTCTCAGAAGAAAAACAAGCATAAAACCCGCCACATTTAATAAGAGACAGGATGCTCGACTGCAGAGAATCATCAGTGCACCTATCCGCGAACAGCTGAACATGTGGCTGTGGTGCTAAACCGTGTGAGGTCCATCCATCCGTCAAGAGTGTCAACATTTCACATTCAGAAATTATGAGGCAGCTGCGGGGCGGCCTACTTGTTCACAACCTGTAGCTACAAGCTGAAATTGAAATTGGCAGCAAAGGAAATGAAATTTTCATTAAATGTATCTGAAACCACTGCATCACTAACTTTAACAGCCTCATTTTTCATGGGCAACTTTCTCAGCTGCATTGTGAAACTGATGCAACAAACTCTGTTCATCTTGTTGAACTACAGAAACAAAGTCCTATTTCATTCCTGATTGCTAAGGGACGGTATACATTACAACAGATTCATCAAAACAAATTGTACTATTGAATCATAATACATATAGCATAGGTCTAGGTATCATGATAGTATTAAATCAGGAGATAAACGCATCGTTCTAGCCTTTTGCACACACAATAAATTTTCTTGCTTAACACAATAAAATCCACCCGTAGGACGAGCAGTGTGTATCCATTCAGAGATCCGCTCATGTGACTGACTGTCTTTCAACTATTAACATCAGTTTAAAGGTGATCCAATGAATACACTATCATTTGTGGTGATAGTATTCCACAGTTTTGTTTCTATAATTGACAAAACAGTGCAAGCAGTGCTTTGTATAAATCTTTATATTACTCTCCTCATCTTATTTCACCAAAGCATTCTCTTGCTGGTGTCGCTGATGTCATCACCTGCCCCTTGGGCGAGAGTGTGTGTATGCAAACGTGACTCCGGGCTGAGGATAACAGTGGACATTAAGGCGAAAAACCTGGTGTAAATGACACCGTTTCTAGTCAAATTTTAATGTCGGGACTGACAAACACTTGGATGACACCACAGCAGCAGTATGGAGGCATTTTATGTTTTCTTTCAGTTTTTTTACGTTTGAAGAAGTGGTTGCCCTGTTATTTCCATTTTATTTGGATTTGGCTGCAATGCTGTTTACCCCTGAAACTTCAAAAGTGTTTTGTGGACTCCTCCGTCGGCATAGTAGATAATGAGTGAATTTTCATTTTGGGGTGAACTATCCCTTGAAGGTATTTGGCTGAGCGCAGACACAAGTTTGCAAAGACAGTATTTTGGTG